GAAAAGGAAAATGGGGGAAAAAAATGAAAGAAAATAAAAGGAGAAACTAACACTGTCAGAAGCACTTAAATTTCATTCCACCTAGTTCCCTTTACTCCCTAAGATCTAAATTTTATTAGATTAAAAATATATATCCATTAATGTTTAAAGATAAAACAAAGATTCTGTGAGGTGACTGGTGGTGTTGATCCACACAGCCGGAGGTCAGCTGGAGAAGACTAGGGGAGAGGCAACAGATGATGGACAGTCAACAGCCACTGCTGCAGGCTGTCAATCTCTGAAAGGTACCAAGAAGAGGAAGTGCTTGCCCATATGCCAGTGCCACCCATGAACTCATTTCTATCAAACGTCTAAAATTCTAAGCTTATCCTCTGGCTAGAACATATTTCAATTTAAAATGCCTTATTTCCAGTTTGAAGTCACTTTTATTATAATTGTGAAATAAATAATACAGAGAAGATCTATAAGTTCAATACAAAAGCTATTTGAGTATTCCCTTCAAGTTCTTCTATGTATACATACATTTTTTTTACATAGCTATAAGCATAATATGAAAGCACTATATTATAAAAAGCTTCAATGCTATCTTTGTTGAGTAAGAAGTAACTAAAATAGGAGTCTGATAATTAGTGAGTTCGAGTTCTAAGCTCAATGTAACTTAACCAATAGTTCAAGATGTATAAATTTTGTTACTAATAATTTAAAATTACTAAAATCCTTATTTTAATAAATGTATTAAATTACTTCATTAAATAGTTACTATTTTGCTTAATTTAACATTTAATTTATTTAATATTTTAAGTATATTTGAATATTTCAGTGAAGAATAGTATTATTCTTAAATCTAATATTCAACTCTTCTTTTTATTGAAGTATAGTCAGTTACAATGGTCAGATATAATATGCCATTTCTGGTGTACAGCATAGTGTTTTAGTCATACATATACATAAATTTGTTTTCATATTCTTTAATATTCAACTCTTAACTATTTATTAGAAACAATGATTAATCACTTTTATATGAAAAGTAAACATAAATTCAACACAGTACACATTCATCACAAACTAGAAGAAAAATTTTCAGCTTTACATCCTTCCCTGTCATTCTAGGATTTTTTCCCTCCCACAATTATCACATCATTTATTACAACACTGATAGTGTTTAGAGAAGATATTAGTACACATGACTACTGCTGGGCCTCCATCTGAATGATTCTGAAGCACTTCCAATTCATCTTGTCTAAAACTTAAATTTTATTCATTAGAGGAAATTTCTTGACTAAATTACCTTTTTCATTTACGAGGACCATTACTCTCTCTACAAGCATTCAGATCCTTCTTCCAGAATATTTTTGTCTCCCTCCTAGCACCTCAGACACACTAACCTGATTCAAGATCTCATTTTTCTCACCTAAGCTAATCTCATCGTCAGCCCCTCATCTCTCCAATCCATCCACCACAACACTACCAGATTCATCTTCCCAAGAGACACTGTGATTATACTACTGCCTTATTTAGTATCTATCCTTCCATTACATCACTTTTTCAGCCTTTGTCTAACGCCACATCACAGCCTCTGACTAATAACATGTGCCATAATTTCAAATACTTACTGATCCCAAAATGTATTGCATGCCTTCTCTACAGCTCCCCTCATCTTCAGAGAACATGCCAACTAAACTTGAAGTCCATTTCTTATGCCCCTCCTTCATGAAGATTTTCTTGATCTTCTCAAAATTACATATCTCATTCTTGAACACTTACCATCCCATTGCCCCTTTGTACCCTTCTAATGATTTCTGCCCTATATAACCGGTCTTGGTACATACTAGGCATTTGAAAATTCTGAACTCTCATTTAACAATCATTACTCAGAAGACTTCAACTCCATCAAGGATGGTCAAGGGTGGAATCCCCAAACACTGAGAAAAAGACTATCACAGACCACTGCTTCTCCATCCAAAGAGATCAGGAAAAAGCCTAGGACACCCATCACTCCCTACCATTTAGTGGGAACAGCTTCATCACCACTACCAGTCTTAAGTTCATGTGGCTAAACTTCATTGTGTGTCTTGTCCATGTTTATGTCAGTCCTCCTAAGGAGATCCTGGTCTTAGGTCCTTACCTCCCCCTCTCTAATTCTCATTAGGTTCTGCAGACTTCCATTCCACCCATTATCTCCAACTATTTCCCTTCTATCCCCAACTTCCACTGTACCTTCTGGAATTCATGGTCCATCAAAATCTTATCTTTAACCTATTCATTGGTCATTCTCATCCCCTTCTTGTTGTAACAGAAACCTAGCTCTTAGTTGAGAACACTTAAATAGTAGGTAAGCTTCATTTCCTAAAATTAAAGAGATGACCCTCCCCCCCATCCCCACCCCCCATCACACACACCATCATTCTCCCACTACCCTGCAGATGGAACAAAGGATTCTATCAGCTCCTTATCACTGCTTTCAAGACATTTTCCATCCTGCATTCCTAGGAAACCCTAGCTTTCAACCTTAATCATTTGATTATGTACTTACTACCCCTTACGGTGGCTAGCAGCTACTGAATTTCAAAATATTTCCCCTCATTTATTGACAACTTGTACTCCTGGATCACTGTATCCAGTGTTACTCCATCTTAGTACTTTGCAATTTCAATAGACACTTAAAGATCCTCCAAACACTCCAAAAATCTCAATTTCATAACCATGTCTCTTCCAGTGATCTTGTATCTTCTATGATTATAACTTTGCCCTCACCAATAACACAACTCCTCTGTAGTATCTATTTAATTCACCCCATCTTCTTCTGGCTGGCATCTATTTTTCTGGCTTACTTCCTCTAATGTCCAGTCTTAAAATCATTTGACCTTATAGGAACTTCCAAATTTTTAGATCCTATTACTTTTTATTGTCCACCACACCCTTAATATACTCTCTTGCTTCCTTATTTAGGTTAAATTCCATGGCCAATAATTGTAACAACTGCTTACCATACACCCTCAACTTCTTTGTTCCTCTTAATTTGTGGAACTCCTTCATCAAACCCACAACATGGATTAAATGCAATACAGCCCACTCTGTACCTATGCAGCTAAATGTGGCTGGAGAAAAATTCACAACCATGTTGACTAGCTTCATTTTAAATTTATCAACTCAAACCTCTAGGAGGTCCTTAATGCTGCTCAATAGTCATACTACAATTCTCCAGATCATTCACACTCTCATTCTTCTAATTAACTACTTCCCCCTTATACCACGTTCTCAAAATCACTTTACCTCCCCATACCCTCATTCTTAGCTAATAATTTTGTTTCCTAATTTACTAAGAAAACTGAAGCATCGAAGGAGAACTTCCAGACATTCAGCCCCACATTTATCTTCTCACCAATCTTCCTTGCTATTATAAAAATGAACTACTGTGTTTCCATTAAAGTCAATCCTTCACTGTAAACCAAATTCCATCCCCTCTTACCCACTCAATGATATTACTCTGGCAATTCTCATCTCCTTCCAAAATCATTAATTTTTCATTTCATCATTCCTAACTGCAAACTAGCATGCTACTTCTCTAGATTAAACAACACACAAACCAATTCTGTTGAAACTAACAACACATGTCTCTGCTTCCTTTCACAACAAAACTTCGAAGAGTTACATGCTTGCTATCTCTAATCCCTCTGCTCCCATCCTCTCTTAAAAATACTCCAACTTGGCTTTCACGTAAAGCATTCCAAAGAAAGTACTCAATCAAGTCACCAGTGATCTCTTCAGTGTTAAGTTCAATGGTTCTCCGTCATCATCTCATTTGACCTCTTTCTCAGCAGCATTTGGCACCATTGATCACTGTCTCCTCTTTGACAGACTTTCTTCTCTTGGCTTCCAAGGCATCACATCTCCTGGTTTACTGCCTTCTAGGAGATTTCTCTTTCTCACCATCAATTATCTTGCTTCTCTTCTTTCTAGCCTCTTAATTTTTAAGTGACCATGGCTCAATTTCTGTCTCCTTTTCTCTATCTAGACTCACTCCACTGTTGAACTCATCTAGTCTAATGGCTTTAAATACCATACAAATAAATTACCAAATTTGTAAATGACAACTACTAAATTTGTACTTTTGATCCAGACGTCTTTTCTAAACTCCAGACTTAACATCCAGTTGTCTTCCTGACAGTTCCACTAGGAAGTCTAACAGCTCAATATGTGCATCCAAACTCCTAACCTTGTCCCCCAAACCTCCTGCACCTATGCCCACTGTCCTCTTTGTTTCTTGCCTCACAGAGAATCAGGAAATTCAGTTGGTTCAACTTGAAAAACAAATCCAGAACTCACCACTTCTCACCACATCTACCGCCACCACTCTGATCCAGCAACCATCACGCTAAGTTAGACAAGTACAGTAGTTCCCTAACCTTCCAACTCAGCCTATTCTCAATACAACAGCCAGAGTGGACTCTGGAATGTAAGATCATGCAGCTCCTCTACTCAGAATCGTCCACCAGCTTACCTTTTCACACATACTTAGAGCCAAAGTAATTACAGTGACCTACAAGGCTCTGCATGATCCATACCCTCACCTCCTCACTGACTTCCTGTTCTATCAGTCTTCCTGGCTTACTCAGTTACAGGCAAACTATCTCACTTGCTCCTCTAATGTAATTTGCAGGGTTCTGCCCAGAACCCTCTTCCTCATATGTCAGAATAGCTAGATCCCTCCTCTCCAAGTAACAATTTTAATAAGGCACACCCAAATGTCCCTGCTACAAATTAGAACTCCAACGCAGTAACACTAACAGATTATACACGCCTATGCTTCTCACAAGGTTTAAGCTCCCTTTAACACTATAAAACTTACCTATGTATTAAGTTTGATGTTTATGTGTCTTTCTCTCTTGGATAAAATATGTGGTCCATAAGGGGAAGGATATTTGTCTGCTTTGTTTAGTGACATATTACAAGTGCCTAGAAGAGTGCCTGACACATAGCAGGCATTCAATAAATACTTCAGGGGTGAATAAAATATTTCCTGAATACCAACTATATATCAAGTACAGTCTACAGGAACATAGTACCAACAAAAAAATAAGTTCTTGTCTCAACCTTACATTACCATTAAATTCCAAAGTCCGTAAATAGAGGAACCATGGCTAATTCTCTTTTTTTTTTCACCCATGAACTTTCAAGCAATATACTATATGTATTTATTCAGAAGAGTAATGAAAATATGAAATGGTAAGTTTTACTCAAAAACATTAGCTAAAATTAAGCTATACAGTGTCTCTAAGGTTGAAGTGTTTTCTTTAAAATGATTAAATTTATTAAAACTGACAATATACCACTGCCTTGTCATTGAAAATAATTATTCTTTGAAATAGCCTAAGGACCTAAAGGCTAAAAATCCTAATATGTGGAATACCATATCGCATATTAAACTAAACATAAAAATAATTGAAATATTTCACTTTAACCGAAATTGTATTTTTCTTAGTACTGAAAAATCTGCCCTACTCAACACACTATTTCAAGTAAGTGGTTTAGTTTTATAACTTATTATTTACTTGTATTTTCATGGAAATTTACTTAATTTCCTTGTAATAATTTTTGGCCCAATCTCTGCTACTGGGTTATTCACCTAAAGTAATGAATAAGAAGGAATATTTCCTTAAGAATGATGACCACAGCACAGAGGAAATAAACACATCAGCTACTGCTTTTAGCTTGAAATTCTTCAGAATTTACTAAGGAAGTATTAGCAGTCAATAGAAACTGCTTTCTAATAGCAATTTAATGTTTGCATTTGGAAATAATATTTTAAAATATTAAGGATTCTGGAAGGTAGATTATTTCAACAGAGATTTACTTTCTCAATACACATCAGGGCTAAAAAATGGGAAATCTGTCAATTCATCAAGTTCACATTTGAATCAAAAAAGCAGTGAATCATCATTTACTTCTCTACTCAAAATGCTGAGCCTTATAGTACTGATCACTCAGGAATGTATGAGTGATAGTTTTCCCTAAATAGTTGGGTTTTATACTATTTTTCACATTTCATTATGAACCTAAACTCAACTCACACTTTCTAATGTAAGCATCACTGATTAAGTCATTGACAAAGAAGTGAGTATTTACCTATTGGAACTGAGTCATAAATAAACAATATATTTAAAAATAAACAATTTCATTAATGATTAAACATCCATCATTATTGTTAGACATAATACACTTTCATATGGCCTACGTGTTGGAAGAAACTTCCAACTAGGCTGGAAGAAAGGGACTTTCATCATGTACAGCTGCCTCCACTGACCACTAACAGAGCTAGCTCAAAATGAACATACTGAAATGTGTCTCATCCATGTAATTTTCAGGTTGAAATAACATGTACACCAGAAAGAGAAAGAAAAATACCATATGATATCACTTATATGTGGAATCTAAGGGAAAAAAAGACAAACTTATTTACAAAACAGAAACAGACTCACAGACAGAGAAAACAAACTTATGGTTACCAGGGGGGAAGCAGGCAGGAAGGGATAAATTGGGAATTTGAGATTTGCAGATACTAATATATATAAAATAAACAAACAACAGGATTATACTGTATAGCACAGGGAACTATATTTAATATCTTGTAGTAACTTATGGTAAAAGAATATGAAAACGAATATATGTATGTTCATGTATAACTGAAGTATTATGCTGTACACCAGAAACTGACACATTGTAAACTGTCTATACTTCGATAAAAATATGTATACAAAAAAAAGAAACATTTCCAATCTTCTCACATGCTGTGATTCTATATACAACCTTGAAACCCCAAAAGAGCAGTATTGCTTTTTTTTTTTTTGAACTATCAGGTATAACCAGAAACAAATGGATTAAGACTAAGGTGTTTAAACTTCTATTACCTCACAGTTTCTTTTGAAATCTCAGCTCACTAGTTTGGCTTTACTACCCTGTAATAAAATTATTGTGGATTTTAGTCCTTTCAGAGGAAAATATACATACACTATTTTAAAAAGTCAAGATAATCCTTAAACTTTTCAAAGATTTTCACACTTCTGTTTCAGTAACCACCACAGCATTCCTAACAGATATGGTACTGTGTTCTTCCAGGTTCATGTGTAAATGTGCCTTTCTGTGTGCTGGAATATATGAAAGGCTTTGAAGAAAATAAAGGAATCTACAGAGTTCACAATAGCTATAAAGGCTTTTGGTTGTTCAGCTGAATAGACTACATACCTTGCCTATTAATTCTCCCAGTATGACATCTTCATGATTGAGAACCCATTTCTTGTCCTACAGCAAAGAAAAAGAACAGTTTTTTTTTTAAGCTCAAGTATGAAAGCAGTTCCTTTAAGATGCATCTGAGGCAGTGGTAAATAAACCTAAGGGATATTTCATTCTGACCATTCAATCAGCACACTTAAGAAGCTGTAACCTCAAGAGGTTATAAAACAGATTTAAGAAATGTTACTACACAATAGCATTTTAAGATCTACATTATAGCAAATTTCTATCAGAATTCTCAGCCTTCAAAATGATAGTATCCTTGTAACTAGAAGACAGCATGCACTCTCCTCTCACCATAAAGCTGAGTCAATGCTATTATTTGTCATTTCAAAAAAGTTGTCATCAGTACGTGATGGAATTTCATTTTGCAATGTAAAATTCCAATTCTCACTTGATCATAAATATTTTTCTACACAAACCACATTACTGAGAGCTATTTTTCCACAACCAGCCATGAATTATGGCTGTCTATGACACTGCATAAAGTCCCACATCTTTCCCAAGTAACTTTCTGTACCATAATAAAGCAACAAACATCAGCAACAAACAAGTAAGTACAAGGAAGGAAAAATGAATGATGCAAGGAAGAAGGAGAGAAAGGGAGGAAAGAAAGGAGAGAAAGAAAAATGAGGGGATGGGGGAGAGAGGGAAGAAAAGAAAGTCCTAGAGGGATAGATTTTATTCTTGAATTTTAAAATCAATATACAGACTGAAATATAACTATGATCTTTAACAAGTAACTTTAACAAGTAATCCACCATCTTGAAGTGAAAATCCACCCTAACTATGGCTTTAAAATGTCCTGGGCAGCCATGCGAAGTACTTTACCTTCTGAAGCACCATGTGACAAATACGTCAGAGAAGGGAACAACAATGATTTTTTAACAACAACAGTTTACATGGATCATCTGTAGGGGTTCAGACCAGTCCCCCCCCCCCAAGATGTGCCTACTTTGCCACATGGATTGTTCTGAGCTAAAGACAGTTGAGACCCTGCAGACTCAAGGGAAAATTTTACTTCTTCCTTAAAGAATTTAATTTGGGGGCTTTGCCTATAATAAGAGTTATTACCAGAATTAACTATTTAGGACCTATCTGTATGACAGTGCTAACGTCCAAATTACGAAACATGTGCTCTTCTTTTCAGTGAATGACCCTCCTCCTCTCTGAATCCTCGGGTCCCTATTCCACTCCTCAGCTCAGGATGATATAGACACCTCATTTTACGTTTCTATCTCTGAAACTTCGCATAATATGTGT